TAACCTTATCTCCGTGAAACTAATCTAACAAATATCTTCCACAGTCACAATTTACTAGAGATCACTTAAAAATAATCATTTTTTAAGCTGATAAATATTTATAAACCACAATTAAGCAAAGATAAATGGTGGCTAACAGTGGAATCCAGGACGCATTCCACTTCTTTCTATTTAGGACTCGTCAGCTGGATGTACCTACATCTCACAGTTAACGTTCACTCAAGGACTTGAATCCAGTACTGTTCGTTTCAAATGTCATCACATTGTCTACTTAGCTAGTGAGTCCTGGTAGCCGCTCGCTTGTGAGATTGGATGAAATTTAAATTCACTTGATGTTGTGTGCTTGTATCTTCCCATTGATGTTTCGGACTGCAATTGATCAGTCTCTTGTTGGCATAGGTGCATCTTTCCACCATCCACCTTTGTTTATAATGTTTGTGACTGAATACAATATTGAGGAAATACGCACACTATGCATATATATATCCCCAATAAGATATGATAAATAAACAAACAAAAGAACATGTTTCTTTTATTCACTCTTCATAACACACCTATGACAGCATTTAAAATATTTTGACAAATTTATCCTTGAACATGTTAAGTTTTCATCATATTCATAACTTATGATACATGATGCCATTGAATTACATGTGTAATAGAAGTCTTAAACATCAATGGGAAGATTCAAATAAACAATACCAAGTGAATTTAAAAGTCAGTTAACTTACATGTTTACTATTAACTTACTATCAAAACAACTTTTATATTTATTTTACTATCATTTCTTTTTCTTTTTTGTATTCATTCCAAGCGAATTACATCATTTTAAATTCTATTTGAGGTCAATTCAAATAAATAGTAAACATTTATTGTTTGTTTTTTTATACATTATAGCAACAGTGTCTTTTCTCTTTATTTTTTGTTTACTTATCCAAATTAATTAACTTTAAAATAACAATGTGAGCTCATGGTAACAGAAATAATGTATACATTGTGTTCTATTATTATTTTTTATCATTATTGATTATATACTAGAAAGAGCCATTTTTACAGCTGAATATACATTAATTTATTTTAATAATTGTGACTGGCATCAATTGTAATTGTCATTCTGAATGAAATGGTTTCAAATCGGTAAAAATATGTATTATGAGTGTATGGAATGAGACTTGTAATTTGCCTATATATTTTACTATTCAGCTAAATATGGTTACATCCTTATGTTCATTTGTCTTATCATCACTATTTTGTTTAAATGATGTTGGTTTTAACCTGAATATTATATTTAAAATAGATTCACTACTACTTCAGAGTACACCATCCAACCTTATTTGAAGTAACCATGAGCTTTTTAATTATTTTATCAAGTTTTGGTAATTTCATTCTCATTCTATTATTTTCATATAGTGTTTACTTGAAGTTTCTTTCCATGCCTTTTGAATGTTTTCTTAGGTTGACTTCTTCAAATATTATCGACTAATGTGTAACATATGAATTAATAATTTAGATCTATACCAATATATCTAACGACTACAAAATAGTCTTGATATCAGGATTCAATAAATTCCTTCGGTTTACATTATCCTATATCCAATATTCTGATATTTTTCGAATAGAATTTGGGACTGAAAATGATATATGGTAATAAGAATGCTTGGGATGACAGAGTCTACATTGCAGTCATAAGGATGGATAGATTCGTTTTGGTTTTTAATAACTGAATGATTCACATCTATATGAAACTTAACAGCAAAAATGTTGTTTTATTAGTAATTATTTATTTTAAAAGTTGAGGTCATGAATCAATTGAACCTAGACAATCATGGAAAATATGGAGGCACTGGATGGTCGTTTCGTTCTACTGTCGGAATCCTCAGCAGTGCACATCTACGATTCGAACACAGGACCTATCAGTCTCGCGCACGAGCGCTTAACCATTAAACCATTGAGCGGGCACCCAACAGTGTTGACTCATGATCTCAACTATTAAAATTACTATAATATCCACAAAACCCCTTCTAATATTAAGTTGTTTATTTCTTTCCTATACGATATCATAAATAAACAAACAAAAAACTTGTTTCTTTTATTCACTTTCCATAACATACCTATGACAGCATTTAAAATATTTTGAAAAATTTATCCTTGAACGTGTTAACTTTTCACCAGATTCATAATTTATCATACATGATGCCAATGAATTACATTTTTCATTTCTATTCTCATGTGGAATAAATTTTCTTAATCCATATTGCTGCTGTTGTTGTTGTTGCTCTGTTTGTACATGAATTGATTGTTGATGATTGTGAATTTTATGAATTGGATAATAATCTGGTGGATTATTAAATAGAATATTACTAAAATCAAAATCACTATCACCTCTTTTACATTCACATAATGATGTTGATGATGAATTAATGCAAATATTAGGACAGATATACTGATTATTCTCTAATATATGCTCACAATTTCTACTCATTACTTGTTCACAATTTACTGGTTGAACAGATGGAATATTTTTAGTTGAAGTAAATGTCTTTAATTCAGTCATTTGATCATTACTATCCTTATTATTATTATTATCATTACTAGGATTACTTATATATATGAAATGTGGTACTGTTTGCATGTATGGTATGGTTTTACTTTGTAACTTACACAATGGTAATGTTTTACTATCGGATTTGATTATTTCAGGATAAAATTCATGATTTGTATTTACTTGACCTGTTTCATATCCTATTGTATTGAATGGATCTTGTGTTTTGGAAATAAATGAAGTTTTAGAACAAATAGATGTATTTGTATGTGGTTTCTTGATAGAAGCCGATTTCAAAGTCAATAATTGATTTATGGTTGTATCGTATAAATAAGAATCATTACATATTGGATTAGATACTGATTTATCTACAGAATTAGATAAACTGGAATTCATAAAATTTACATTTGATTGATGATCACTTGGATTCAAATGAAACTCACATGTAAGATCGAAATTCTGAGGACATTGATTATTTGCAGCAATTTCAGTAGACTTTTTATTGAACTTCATTGATAGTGTATGATTGGAATCATGAAAATAATGATAAAAATGATTTGTTTAATATTATTTCTTGGAAGTTTATATTTCATTATGATATTATCAATATCATAATTGTATAAGTGAATACCTTTCAAGATTTATATTGCATATGAAATTTCTTGAAATTTGATTAGTTAATAGACTTAACCAATCAACTAATTTGAAAATCAGCCTTATTATTTAGGAACAGGTAGGCTAATGTTTTTGATAATAAACATATATATATATTCATGTAACAAAAGGTCATTAGATTGCAGTTATAGACATAAACTTATGCATTTTGATGAAATCACTCCTTTTTATAGAATCATTGTAATCTGATTCTTCTCGGTTTAAAAATATTTCCTTTATTTATATTTTATACTTAAGAATGCATGTTTTCATTATTTCCTTATTGTTGTCCTTTATCTATTAGATTATAATCTTATGTAGTGACAGCATCAGTTTATCTAATAAGTTTAAAATTATAAAGTGTTTTTTTCCTGGTTATTAGTATTGACTTTGAAAGAGAAATCACATGGAAACTAAAATTCGACCACCATGATTCAATGCTATAAAACATTATTAAATAAATATGAACATTTAAAAGTAATATGAATTTTTATGAATACTTCTATAAGTATAGTGATATACAAAGATCATATATAGATTTTAGGACAAATATTGATTTTTCTGGTTCTAACATATATGATACACCAAAAACTTGTAAGTATGATAGATTACAAAACAGTACAGAGAAGATATTATTCAGAAAATATCGAGAAAACAATGTATCAACTCTGAGATGCAGGTGCATCCAGCTGATGAGTTCCAAATAGGACGAAACACGCGTCCTAAATTCCATTGCTAGCCACTAGTCATCTTTGTTTATAATGCTTGTAAATTAAGTCAATATCGAGGCCATTTGCTGGACACACATATGCCAATAACAGACTGATCAATTTCAGTCGTTAACATCAATGAGAAGATTGAAGTAAACAATACCAAGTGAATTTAATGTATGTGTGCTATTACATATCGTTTTCTTATTACATTAATAACCCGTTAAAAGTGCATTACTTACAGACGGAATTTCAGAGTTTATCTTCAGTCAATAATTCACATCATTGACTGTTTATAGCTGAACAACAATTGAAAGATAGGATTCAATAAATAGATGTTTCTTTCTCCATGATCTACCAGAGGTCGATCTGGAAACCATCGGTCTTGGCTGTCATTGAATAAACTATAGAAATCTGATTAATCATCTTTTTTGTATACTTTGGTTAAAAATCATTCGACCATCATTCCTTACCACTGCTAAAAACTGTGCCACTTCAAACGCGCTTAATTTCACTAGAAACTTGTTCACACTGTAAGTTCGCAAATTATCATCTTAAAATTAGTCACTGTTGAGAACATGATCATTACTAGTTCAGAACGTTCATCAAAAAGTTGTTCACTCTTACACTGAAGTTACAGATTTATCATTTTTGAGAATGTGATAAAAGCAGATAGTTTGGAATAAGAATAATAATCTCAAACAAATAGTTTAACCAATAATAAATAGCATGTTTTAAAGTCACTTTATTCATACAAATAGTTCTAGAAGGTAGTGTTTCCGTTTGCTCCTATTTCAAAACATCAGCAACCAGTAAGAACTAAATTATTAGCCTTTTAATGTATCCTTTCAGCATGATTTTCAAGAATATTTAACTCATAATGACCAGAAGAATTGTAAATCTCGAGTAAATTTAACATTTAATGAACAATTGATCTACTTATTCAGTTTCTATGTATGGAAAAGAGAATAGTTTCTTTTGATTCACGATCATAATAAAATGTGAATTCTTACGTTTGTTACTTTACTCAGTTGCAATTCGCTCAACATAACTTTGATAGTTTTGTTGTATAATAATATTTATAGTTAAACTTAATGGGGAAATACAAGTAATTCGGACAAATTACAGTCTTTTTTTATATCCCTAACCGCACTTACAAAACAAAACAAAAAATTCAATATATTTATCTATAACAAGATTTTCTTTTCTTTTTTCTTTATTATTTCTTGACCTAAAGAGTATCATTCTATGTATTTCTATGAGGAACTTTAGTATTACTTATTTATGTAATTGTATTCTAGTTTTCTAAACAAAATTCAATTTTAGGTCAATATTATCCTCTTATAAATGAGTTTATTATTATTATTATTATATTTACTTTGATTTTAACACTATGTAACTAACTAACTAACCAGATATAAACATTTATGTAATTGTAACTGGAAATAGTTATTAAAAAGTTAATCATTTTACTGTATAATGAAACAAGTAATAATAAAACAGAACAATGTAGTATAGCTTTATGAATTCATTAAAAGTAATCGTTTAAAGTACATTTGGTTATAAAACAAGAAACCTAATTCAATTGATGTTATTTTACATGTATCTTTCCATTCTTATTTAGGATTACAACTGATCAGTCTCTTGATGATATATGTGCATCCTGTTCTGATTGCCTCGATATTACCTTAAGTCACAAGCTATTTAAGCTACTAAGTTTCAGTAGTTAAGTGGATAATGTGACGTTTGAAGAGAACGGTACTTGGTTCGAGTCCCGGAGTGAACAGCAGGTACTTTTATCCAACGAATCCCAAATGAGACGAAATGCACGTCCTGGATTCCATTGCTAGCCACTATCAACTTTTGCTGAAAAAACATAATGTTTAGTTCACATCTCTTTATGACTAATGTATTAATTTTATTAGCTTGCATATTAAAGTTTCTTATCACACCTTCGAGATATTCATATCAAGTTCAATAATGTTTTTGAACTGTAAAATGACAAAGAACGGAATTCATGTTGTGAATGGAGGTAATAGGCAAGAGGAATGTTGATTTCATGTAATAAGTTATAAAGTACTTAAATAATACATGTAAATGGCCTTCAATCATTTATTTCCATCTTTCGATGTGTTCTATTATTTGAGCTGCCACCTCATTTGATCTCTACATGATGTGTCAACGCTGTGCTTTCGTTGTACTGAAACGTTTTGCTCTGTCTGACGAATTTGAGGCTGCGTTTTGCACAATAATAATTACAAATGATCCTGTAAGTAAAGTCTACTACAATGTCATTTCATAATTTTTTGAACGTAATCAGCTTACTGAATATTCTTTTGTTAGCTGTGAAACCTAAAACTGTGACTGAGTACTGGCCATAAAGTATTTTACTTCTCTTGATCCGTCTTAAAAAAAACACAGATAACATAATTAAGGATAATTTAGTTTATCAAGAACTGTCAGTCATTGTCTCATTAAAAAAATAAAATATTTGTTTTGACTTAGTAGGGCATACAAATATTATTATTCTAATGTGGAAGAAATAATAATAATAACAATAATAACAATAATAATAATAATAATAATAATAATAATAATAATAATAATAATAATAATAATAATAATAATGATGATGATGATGATGATGATGATGATGATGATGATGATGATGATGATGATGATGATGATGATGATGATGATGATGATGATGATGATGATGATGATGATGATGATGATGATGATGATGATGATGATGATGATGATGATGATGATGATGATGATGATGATGATGATGATGATGATGATGATGATGATGATGATGATGATGATGATGATGATGATGATGATGATGATGATGATGATGATGATGATGATGATGATGATGATGATGATGATGATGATGATGATGATGATGATGATGATGATGATGATGATGATGATGATGATGATGATGATGATGATGATGATGATGATGATGATGATGATGATGATGATGATGATGATGATGATGATGATGATGATGATGATGATGATGATGATGATGATGATGATGATGATGATGATGATGATGATGATGATGATGATGATGATGATGATGATGATGATGATGATGATGATGATGATGATGATGACGATGATGATCGTTTAAAAGAGAACTAGTCCTAGTCCTATTCACTAAATTATAGTCAGTGAAATATTTATAAACGTCAATGCGATCACTATAAGGGATTTGTTAAAATTGTTGAATTTCGTAGTTTACAACAAAGGCTGACATTCGTGAGATAACCATTAAAAATCAGAAAGTTCTGTATAGAGGGTCCTTTGTGACCCACGACTCCGTAGAATTGCGAATACCCATCCATAAGTAAGATCGAACTTATAATCCTCATGTGTTTGGGTTAACGCTCAAGATTTAAATCGCTGAGTTAGTATCTAACGGTTTAGAATTCTGAATTCCATCTATTCACGATATTGTACGATCATCTTCTGATCCCGTCGGTCTGCAACAGTCTCACACCCAACATGATTAAACTTATCATCGCTTTCTACTAAAACTCTGGAAATGGCAGCTCAAAATTATTTACTAGTAACCATATTATTATCGATAGTATAAAGGAATTGTGTAGATTATGCTTACTTCTGAGAAGTACCGTTATAAAATATAAACCTCTTCGGAGCTTTCTGATTTTCAGTGGTTGTCTAACCAACCTTAGTTAGTGATATCAACAATGACAGTTAATATAATCACTTTAATTGGAGTTCTAAACTCATATTCTGAATTTTAAAAGATATACTTAATTTAGACCTGGTTATTCCCTTTGATCAATTGTGTGCAATCATTCATATTTATTTTAAGTCATACTTGCTTACTTAAATACATGATATCATGAATATAAATCTTTACTTATTTAGATAGTTGCCAATTGAGGTTGAATAAATAAACTTCATATCTCTTTGCTTTCCTATTTCATTTATTAATACATGCTTCTCTCCCAATAGTCTACCTTAGGATTCGTGTCAAATAATATTCTTTATGATTTATAATAAGGCTTTTATGAATATTATAATCAATTAAGCAGAAAGGATTTTACGTCTAAAATCAAGAAATTACTACGATCAAGAAATCAATAAATTCTCGAAACCGGCAGAAGCATTCATAATACACGAATTAATTTTTTTAAAATATCTAATACGTTTAGTACAATCGATTAAACATTATGTGGTTATCAATGTCATTTTTATCCTTGAGAGATCAGTCGAATAGCTGAGAGGTAAAGTATTAAATTGTGATTCTAAAAGACGTGTGTTTGGATCCTTCTACGAAAATGAATCCTTCACAATTTCAGGTACATAGGCTGAGAATTACCAAACAGCACGCGAAGTACGTTAGGCATGGTTTCTTTCCGACCACTAAATAATATCTCTTTAAACCCATTAGTCAGAAAAACACCCAAATAAATAAAAATTAGACTTCATTTTATCGGACCAGTGGCGTGGTGTTTAAAACATTTAGTTTTCAGTTAGGTTTTAATAAAACTTTATCTACTCAATTTTCAACATCCCAGTGATATCATTGAACCTGTTACAAAGCTAATTGTTTACTATTACTAAATACATAAATGTTTTGATGGTTAACATAGATTAATTCTTGATTACTGAATGCTGTTTATAAATAAATATGTTCAATGTCTCGCTCACGCGCGAGACTGATAGGTCCTGGGTTTGAATCTCGTGAGGTGTGATCGTGACTGTTCACTGCTAAGGAGTCCCACAATGGGACAAAACGGCCACCGAGTGCTTCCATGTTCTTGATGGTGGTCTAGCTTCAATTGATTCATGATCTCAGCTATTGAAATTACTACAGTCTCCACAAAATCTCTTCTGATACCAATAATGAATAGAAAGCCGCTAGAAAAAACTTTAAATTTTCTTTAAAGGTTTACTTAATAGTGAACAAGTAAATATGAACTATTTCAAAGTAGATTTAGTAATCGTTAATTTCCAGCAAAACACTGATTATTATAGCATATATAAACTTGAATACCTGTCATTTCCTCAAAGAACTAATATCAATACTGTGAAATAAATTAAAAATGTTCACCTGTCTCATGTAGAAGATTTAGAAATTTGAGCTATAATATTACATAACTTGTTTTATTTGTACTATCTTGACATTACTTACTTTCTTACTTACTTACGAGTGTTACTCCTAATGGAGCATAGGCCGCCAACCACCATTCTCCAACCTACTTTGCCTGGAGTCCCTCTGGGGGCTACTGCCGGTCGTAAACCCGAGTAAAGGAGGAGGGTTGGGCATGGGGTTGGCGAGCCCATCTCGTAGGAAACTAATTCGCTAAAAAAACGCTAACCAAAAAAATTATTCAACTATCTTGACATGCAACAGTTTAAATTGATTTTTTTATTTAGTATCCAATGATCACTTATCATAAACTAATTGTTATGAATAATTTTCTATGAAGCTACTGTTAAAAACATTAAGTGAATAGTCATAAATTCAATAAGTTATAAAGGATCAGATAATATATTGACTAATAGTCATGATCGACTCTTTTCTAATTGTAACTATAAAGCATAACTTATTGATTATTAGCCTAATACCTTTTTTTAAATCATGTTACATCCCTGTGCAATGATTCTTTATATCTATATATAATGACACTGGTCACATCGTGATGTTAAAATTATAAAAATTCTCATTGTGAAACTTGGAATGATACATATAAGAGAACTATATTATTCTCAATTACATCTTTATCAAGCTTTACTCTAATATATATGGATATCTACATGAGTACGGAAACATGAAACTAATCATATCAATTTATGAGTGAGTGATCACTATCCAATTAATTACACACTTCTTATGACATAACATTATTAGTGCTATGTAATGAATATTTTAAAGTCAATTTATCCAAGTTTCACCTACTTCTTATGTGTAACTAATGACTACAGCTTTTCTTATTTTATTATTCGTATCAGTATTACTAATACACCTATCTTCTTACTACGAATTTGTACTTTTTACCTATTACGTGCAGTTATACAATCAATTTCATTATGATCATTCACTAACAATAATTTTCATATGAATATTCATGTATATTAAAGTAGAACCATATAACGATCCAATTGAAAACAGTAATATTCGCTTAAATTTGTTGATCTAATATCTTGATAGTTTGATTCTCCTCGTTGATATTAAGGACTGATATTGATCCGTCTCTTTTAAGCGTATGCCTATCCTTAGTGGACTGCATTGATAGGGAATTAAGGTGGCTTGTTTGAATATCTAGGCTACCTATCCCTACCATCTAGATGTTTCAACAAGTTATCTGTTTTTAAGAACACAATTGTATGAACGAAGAATATTCTTTTCAATAATTTCTCATCAGGTTCTATAATTATAAATCCAGATTAATAATCCATAAAATTGGCCAAATTTAAGGCAAAATACATCATTTAGAAATTGCAATATGTGAATCAGGAATTGTTTGTTATATAAAATAAAATTGTTAATGTTGGGGCTGACTAATATGAAGTGTTAACTTGAATCAGTTTATAAGCGAAATGAAATTGTGAGATAAATAATCAGAATAAATATGGTCAACATGGGATAAGAGAGAGAGAGAGAGAAAATTGTGATTACAAATCGGAAATTGCGTAATATGTAAAATAATTAGGTCAAATATAGTAGATTCAGGGGTGGATATTGAATAAATTCATCGAAAGGGGGTTATCAAGTGTAAAGATAATAATAATAATAATAATAATAATAATAATAATAATAATAATAATAATAATAATAATAATAATAATAAGTTTGGGACATAAAATGAACATTAATCAGATTACGTCACCATATTTTAAGATTGATTATTAGCTAGTTGGCCAGGGTAAAAGGAGTGGCTGAACATACTTCTTTTGGATACAAAGCTCTGGCTTTTTGATCCGAATAGCAATTGCTTCAGCCGTCTGTAGGATTCGCAGTCTGACGGAATTAGGTAGACTGCTGTTGACACGGTAAACTATTGCAAAAGATTGCTCGATGTTGGCTGTATGTCCTGTTTGGACTAAATGGTCTAAGATTGAGCTGTTAACAGTTTTGACAACACCTTTGCTTAACCACACGGGTAGGTGCTCACGAGCCCGAATGTACAAATTCCTAGAACATCTGCCAATATAACTTGCTCCACAGGAGCAGTTGGATTGATAGATACAGAAGGAGGTGGCTAGTCTAGGCAATTTATCTTTCAACCTCGGAGTGATTATTGGTCGTGTGGAAAATACTAGTCGTAGTTTAGCTGCGTTAAAAGTCCTTTGAATTGATCTACTTAACTTGAGTCTTAACATTTCACTCGGCGCGTCACCTCTGAATTGTAAGCGTATATATAGAGGCTGCGAATCCTACAGACGGCTGAAGCAATTGCTATTCGGATCAAAAAGCCAGAGCTTTGTATCCAAAAGAAGTATGTTCAGCCACTCCTTTTACCCTGGCCAACTAGCTAATAATCAATCTTAAAATATGGTGACGTAATCTGATTAATGTTCATTTTATGTCCCAAACTTATTATTATTATTATTATTATTATTATTATTATTATTATTATCTTTACACTTGATAACCCCCTTTCGATGAATTTATTCAATATCCACCCCTGAATCTACTATATTTGACCTAATTATTTTACATATTACGCAATTTCCGATTTGTAATCGCAATTTTCTCTCTCTCTCTCTCTTACCCCATGTTGACCATATTTATTCTGATAATTTATCTCACAATTTCATTTCGCTTATAAACTGATTCAAGTTAACACTTCATATTAGTCAGCCCCAACATTAACAATTTTATTTTATATAACAAACAATTCCTGATTCACATATTGCAATTTCTAAATGATGTATTTTGCCTTAAATTTGGCCAATTTTATGGATTATTAATCTGGATTTATAATTATAGAACCTGATGAGAAATTATTGAAAAGAATATTCTTCGTTCATACAATTGTGTTCTTAATATAATGGGAATTTTTCAGCAATTAAAATCTTGTTATCTGTTTTTATTTGTTTGAACATATCATTATAACTATTAATCGCATAACCTAATCAATTACGTTTGTAAAACATTTATAACC